ATGTGATCTATCTGGTTCGAAATCATCGCGCTCGCTCCAGAATCGGCCTGCCACTGCTCGCTACCCTTCGGATTCGGCATGTACGGTTGGCATAGAAAAGCTTTGTCTACTGTGGGACGCTTGGTGACACGAGCTACAATTAGCATTCCAGATACATCAGAGGCAGCAGGCACAATCTTATCCGGCTCAGCAGTCGCGATCACAGCAGGCATAGAAGGCACCCTCACATCATGGACAGCATGCATTATCCCATCAGACTCAGTACTCACAACCACGTCAGGCACAGCGGGCACAATCGCATCAGTCTCATGAAAATCGGTCTCCTTCTCATAATTCTCGAACATCGCAGACAGACTCGGAGAAGCAACCCTGTGCAAATCTTGCTCAGAAAAACAGTGATTCCTATCGTGACTCGCAAGCATTTCAGGGTCAACACCGCGGTACAGCAGGTACGAAAACGTCAGACGCCTTAAAACCAAACGCAGACTCAAGAAAAGAATCAAACTTGCCTCGAGGGCACACACTTCGTGCCATGAAGAGACGAAGAGGGGCGTCGCCAGCAGGAGGTAGAACGTCGCCTGGATCTGGAGAGGGAGAGGAGGAGGAAGAGGCCGCCTGAGGCACGCCGTGGTACTGCTGCTCCTGCTGCTGCTCAAAACTCGCCTGCTGCTGCGGGAAGGGCGCCGGCTGCTCCGAGACGTAGAAGGCCTCGTTGTAGACTCTCGGCTGATACGCGTCAGGACCTGCAGCAGAAGGGCAGTATGTTACGTTGGCCTCCTGCTGCTGGTGCGGCCCGCCGTCTTCGGAAAAATAGCCGAAGCCAAATCCCCCGCCGGCGTTGCCGTAGGAACCGCCGCTGTGGTTCCCCCCGTGAGCCGCGAGCCCATACCCGTATCCCGCCTCGGAAGGTGATGGGGCCCAGCTTGGCGTGGGTGCCGGCGCCGACGTTTGCTGCCATCCCGAGCTGCTTTCGCCACCGAACGAATCTCCGCCCCCGATGGCCAGGTGAGCCGGAAAAAAAGGGCCGCGGGACGCTGGCAAGCTGCCCTGCAGGTACGTTGGCCGGCGGGAAATTGCCCCCGCGGCCGCCGCCTTGCCCACGGCTTTCGTAGGGGCGAGGCCCGTAGCCGCCGTAGCCCCGTCCCCCATCGTTGCGCCCCTGCATCTGCCCCCCAGCTCCGGGTCCTGGCCCACGCGGCGGCCCCTGAGGCGCATGAGGGTGGCCCTGACTCCAGCCCGCACCGTGTTGGAATTGGTACGACTGCTGTACTGATGGACCACCAACCCGCCCCAGGTTCTGCGATCCGCCTCGTGGATGAGCGGCCGCCTCGGCGTCCCTCCTGCCGCTCAAGTACGCGCTGATCTCGTTGTAATTCGCCAGGAACTCGCTGCGCAACTTGTGACAGTCAGCGGTCGCGTGCGAGGTGTTGGGCCCGTGGTACTGGCAGATGTACGGTCCCAGCTGCTGCTGCTGCTGCTGCTGCTGCTGCCGCTGCTGCTGCTGCGGTGGCTGCATCGACGCCTGTGGCTGCTGCTGCTGCTGCTGCTGCTGCGGTCCGCCGTGACCCATGCCGACAATGGCTGGTCTCCTCTGCCCGCCGCCCCGGCCCATGCCGGCAGCGACGAGGGCGTGCCTCGTCTCCTCTCCTCTCTCTCCAGACCTCCGCTCGTACCTCTGCTCGTGCTCAGCCGTCCTCAACGCCTCCTGCATTTGTGCACTCGACAACATGGGGTGAAAAAGGACACGCTCTTTAATTTTCTCAAATTCTGGCAAAAAACCCCGAGCGATGTGCTTGCACATGGACACTTCAGCACGATTATCACCGTATGACACCAGTCTCATCCAAAGCGCCTTAGCTCTACCAAAGTAGTCCATCAAACTTTCTCCATTCCTCTGACACAGCACATTCCACTGATCATCAAACGTCTGTCTTTCCTCGTTTTTACTGCGTCGGTAGTAGTCCAAGAAAATTTTGTACCCGGCTTGCGGACTCTCCGCTGCGAGCAATTGCCCTTGAATAGATTGTGCCGTGATCTTCGACAGCATGAAAATCCATACCTTCCTAGACTGCTTTACTCTCTCCTCACCAAACGAACGTTTCATCCAATCCACATTCACTTGAGCTGCAGCTACAGGAATCTCTGGGCCTCTCATTGCGTCAACCACTCCCTCGTTCTCCATCCACGCTTCAAACGCACTCGTGAAAATCCGCAACGCAACCTCCATCGATCGATTTTTGAGGAAATCATCACTCCAAACAGGGACCTCGACTTTGTCCCGCTGTTTCAACTCTACTGTCTGGGCGCTAGACGTGCCTGAATGGGCACGATGCCCCTGGTCCTGGGAGTTTGCCGTGAAAGCATGCTTGAGAAGGTCGACCAGCTGACGCATCGAGTCTTGCTGATCTCCCCCCGCCGCCGCTCTCCCTCCCAGATTGTCTTGTTCTTCTGCATCGGCGGTGAACGAATAGTTGGTTCCTCCATCGCCGGTGCCTTCTCCCGGGGAAGGATCACCATGACCTTGTCCCCCCGGAGGCTGTCGTCCGTCTCCATCCGGCATCTTGCGCGCGTAGACACAGCGGCCACTCTCTTGATCGAAACGCTAGCGTGTTGAGTAGCTTTGTGCGTGGGTGCCTCGGCGCGGGGTCCCGTAGTGGGAAACAAAAGGTGCCAGCAGCTGGGTACTGCCAACGGTCAAAATGTAGAAACTATCCGCGGGCGTGAAAGCCCTTCTACGTGGTGGAGCGTGGAAGCTCGTGTATAATATAGTTGTGGCGTGGAAGCCGGGTGGCGTGGTGGCCCTGATGTAAAGGTATATTTAGGGACGTGGGAGTCCTGAAGGCGTGGAAGCCGGGTTGGCGTGATAGCCGGAGTATGGGCGTGGAAGCCGGGGTTGGCGTGAGAGCCGGAAAAAGGACTTGATTATACACAGAAAAAGGAAGTGAGGAACCACAAGCCACGCACACAAATTCCGTTGTAGACACCCATACCCTCAAACCTGCAATATGTGATAAAGTTGGTACCACCAAATCTAATCCATAGCAACCATTGAACCCCCAAACTCCCCGCTCCATCTGCTCGGGAAATTCTTGCTCGCAATAATCTGTTGATGCTGTGAGTACATCCAACAAAGGTAACCTGTGACCACGGGAATCGACCGCGTCGAGTGTTGGATCAGTACGGACATGCGAAGGTACTGGGTAGAGAGAGATCGGAACGGTTTTTAATGTGAAGACAACAACAACAACAACAATTATGTGACTTCTGTCCGAAGTCCGAAAGCAACTGGCAGCCACGAAAAAACAACTGCTGCTGTGACTGACGTCTTTAGACAATGCAAGAGATATCTCCGATAAGAACGCGACGTGCCGTACAGGCAGGAGAGTATAGCAAGATCGTGCGGTGCATCGCATGCGGTGCGGTGTTATTCAAGGGACAACGCGGTGGGTGCACACACCGGAAAAGAGCGGGTGCATACATACTCCGAGTACAGCTAGTACAGCGACGAAAAACTCACCGGCTTGATCCTTGTCCTCGACGATACCCAAGTGGCGCACCATGTACCCCGCGTAAGCAATCACGCCTAGCTGGACGATCCAAGCGCTGAGCAAACCGACCGTGAGCACTGCCATGGATATGAACGGAAAGGATGCCATATTCTATCCGCGTTGCTTCTCTTTCCTCACTACTGTCTCATTCGACAGGGGTTCCACCCCTCCCTCCCTCTCCAGTTTTTTACCGCACGGGTCTTGGATGAGAATGCGTGTTTTTCTCGGTGAGAATAGCAGCCGTCGTGCTCACAGACGTGCAGGCGCTCCGCGAGCTCGTTTTCTCCTTCCTCTCGGGCAGGAGGGCCTCGAACAACAACGAACGGCAGGCAATGGGACGTCCCGCTCAACGCCAGAAATCGCCGTGCTTACTGGTACTTGCTCTGCGTTGTATCATCCGCGCGGCTGACCGGAGAGAGGGTGGTGGCAACGAACAACAGCTGGTGTGCGTACCACGACAAGAGCGGATGGGGCCGCAGCCAAGCAAGGTGGGCCGCAGCAAGCACAATATTCACTACCATATGCCGTGACGTGACGGAGTTTTGGAAATGAATATCGGAACACATGTCCAGTCTACCGGCAATGTGCAAGTACGTAGTACGTCATACAACTTCCAGCAGTTGCATTTAGTATCAGTAGCATGCCATGGGTATTTTCACAGGACCTTGCCAGCAGGCAGGATCGGCAGTCAGTATGATCCAAGTACGTATGTATGTATGTAAATACAGGAGGGCAAAAGCATTGAACTTCGCCTGTGAGTTGCTGTGAGTCCAAACTTTTTCGCGTGCCTGCAGAGCGTGACCTCCGCGTGCAAGTTCGCCCGGGCAGGCCAGAGTGAGGCCACGGGATTGTTGTTGTTGTTGTTGTCTTCACATTAAAAACCGTTCCGATCTCTCTCTACCTGACTGATTGCTTCTTCTGATCTTTTATTTCCTCTTCTAAATCTGTCGTTGACTTCCATTTGCTTGCCGACCCTCGGGTCCATTATATTATCGTATACTGGTACATTTTTTGTAGGTAAGTTAGCCTGTGACCACGGGAATCGATCCCGTCAAGTGCTAGACTAGTACGGACAGACGAAGGTACTAGGCAGAGAGAGAATGGAACGGTTTTTAATGTGAAGACAACAACAACAACAACAACTTGCAGCGAGCGGCATATATTATGCATATTATTGTAGAAAAGTAGAAAATACGAAAATACAAGCAGGTCGTCATACATCCCCGGACTCTTTCATGTATCTGTGGAAGACAGAGATTTGTTGTTCCTCCGCCAATCTGTGAACTGTTAAATATTCCGTGAACAGTGACCGTGTGCGGAACGGTTGTTCAGCCTTCAGCGGCGAGAGCGAAGTGCGATGCACTTTCATTTCGCGGAACCCCTCGGCCGCCCAAAGTTGCGCCGCATCTTTCAGCCGCCCAAAGTTGCTTTGCCCGCCCACTGCTCCCGACCAATTCTCCCCCCATGGCTACAATAACTGACCAGGGTTGCAGCTGTGCTTCCTGGATTGCCCGGCTGGCTTGCGCACGGCTCGCCCGGTCTCCCCTTTGCCCTTTTCCTTCTCCTACTTCAACGCGTGAGACCGGAGTCTCGATCATACGAACGGGTTCAAGGGCAAGCAGATGGCCTCTTCTGAAGGTGAGAGAGCTGCGGCATTAGAGGCATGACGCGAGAATGGGTGTGCGTACGCACTTGGCACTGCCCTTGAGAACCTCTTCGCACCCAAAGACCCACAGCAGCAGCAGCTGATTCAAAATGTACTGCTTACGATGGGCCGTCTGCAGCAGAGCGAGCTGGAATGTTGCACTTTGGAAAGAAGCTTGGAGACCAACACCAGGCATCCGCCTTGCGGAGCCCCAACTTGAACATGAAACCAGTACTTGTACTGCCTGTACTTGTAGTATGCATAGCAGCAACATTCGCTGGCACGGCCAGCTGATTTTCTGTTGCTGGGACCGTGCTGTCGAAGGCTGCAGCCGTGGTCCACTCGGACAGAGAACGCAGACAAGAAAAGGGGTCTTTATCGTTGTGTTCTACATAAAGCCCTACAACATGTATCAACAGTGCTGTGAGTTGACTCAGGAGCTAGCCGTTGCCGGGAAAGAACATCATCAGGCGGCTTTCTAAAGGGTCGCCCAAGAGATCATGTTAACTATATATTCACAGGATGTCGTCAGACATTACACTTGATTTTTTGTTGACACCAAAATTGGTGCCGTTTTTTTTTTTTGCGTGCCACACAGCAGTTGCGTTGCGACGAAATGCCTAGGGTTGTGGCCACCACATGTCTCATGAACTTCGTGCAGAGCAACGACGACGTGTATCGAACCTTAAGGTGCCCTCGTCACACCCTGTCATGAGTGCACTCTTCGGTGTCTCACGTTTGCTTTCAGTGTTGTTTTGATGTTGTGGCGACCACGTGCTCTTGCTGTGTGTACACCAAAGGGTGCCGTCTGTATTTTAAGGAATAATAAAAACACACACAGAAAGACTACCCATTCGAGATATACCCACAGTCGAACGGAATGTGTTTTGTTCGCGCCACGCAGCATGCGTTGCGACGGAATGCCTAACGTCGAGGCCACCACATGTCGAACGAACTTTGGTGCAGCAACGACAGCGTGTACTGCACCCTTGCGTGCTATCGTCACACCCTGCCATGGATGCACTTGACGGTTCGCAATTGGTTTTGGTGTTGTTTTAGAGTTGTTGCGACCACATGCGCAGTACCGATCACGAATGAATATGTACTTCGTCTACGGCATGTCGCTTTGCAACCCCGACTTCATTCCTGTCAAACTCCTATCAACTACTGCTGTGTAGTGTACGACAACACCCAGGTTCGAACCGGCGTACGGATGCTGCCTGCAGCGTGATCTTGCTGTAAAACCGCATGGAGTTCACCCACAATTACAACCTCGAACATCACGTCTGTCTGCCCACCCTTGCTGCGGTAATCATGACAATCTGTTTACATATAATCTCCTCACAAAGAACAACTTACATCCACTACTGCTGGCTCTACAGCATTGCACGCCCGCCGGCCCTTTATAAATACTTCGTGCTATCGCTACACCCTGTCATGAGTGCACTTGACGACGGTTCACGTTTCGTTTTATTGATGTTTTGACGATGTGGCGACCACGTGCTGCGTGTGGTAGCCATCACGAATATGTACAGCAGTGTAGTTCATCTACATACGTCACGTGCGTTCTGTAACACCGACTCCACTTCTGCCAAACTCCCACCTCAACTACTGCTATACTGTAGTGTACAACAACACGCAGCTTCCAACCGGCGTAGAGATGTTGCCTGTAGCGTGTCCTTGCTAGAAACCAACGTGGAGTCCTCCACCCACATATATTTATGTGCAACCCTCGAACAGACGTCTGCTCACCTCTCCTCCGCGGTAATCATACCAATTTCCTCACCAAACACAATTTACACCCACTGCCGCTGACTCCGCAGGTTCTACAGCACTGTACGCCGGCCTTCAATCTGCCTTATTCGAAACTGTTCCTGCGCAGAGTCTGCGTTGTCCGTATTACTGTTGTTTTGTGACCACAAGGTATACTGCTTGACTGCATCCGTGCGACATCGGCTGAAGATTCTGTGAGACGGATCCATCACGTACAACATGTACAGTTAATCATGCTATGTATCTAATCGTCACAAGCATAAATATTTGAATTCCCCGCGGTTGGCACTACAACACGTTCCGCAATCCCCGCCTATGTACTCCACCCGTTTCTTCTGCCGTTCCACCCGTTGTATCTTCTGCCATCCTCCATTATTATCGACCCACATTTTCGACCAAAAGTAGACTTTGACATCCACCAGTACAAGTCATTGTTGGCTCTGAAACACTGCACGCCGGCCTTCAATAGAAGACTTCGTCTGCGATATTTTGCATCAGATCCTTCGACATCTATCATCACAAACATCACACTGTCCACACCTGGTGCTGTAATCATGCCATGGAATCTACATAATCGTCACAAGCATGAATATTTGAACACCACTGTCGGCACTACAACACGTTCCGCAACCCCCCGCCTACTCCACCCGTTGTATCTTCGGCCGTCCTACATTATCCACCCACCACATCTTCGTCGGGGCCGACATTAATACCAACGACCGCCTGGCTAACTACACAAGTATTATTCTTTGGTTGCCACATATGTACCCCAAATTCCGTTGTATCCGACTGCCACAACCAACGACACGCGCATTTACTTCGCGCCACGCCCGGACCCATTTGTTTTTTTTTTGTCTTCACTTCAAATCAGCGCTCACAGCACTAGTGCCGTTTACTCCAACCCGTAGTCACACAGAAGGAATCCTCTCTACCCTCCCCTCCTGCGGTGCGTTGCCTTCGATTTTTAATGCGAGAAGAGTTCAGCACTCTCTTCCTTCTGTGTACACACGAACTACTGTAGCGCTATCCACTAGGCCAGGAGCGGAAGCGAGAGAAAAACTCACTTTGCAAGAAAAGCTCGCTTACGCCGGGATTCGAACCCCTGACCTGACCTCTAGAAGGTTTCGAGGTACTAACTAGTCTAGACCACCGGGGCGACCGGCATAAAGCCAACAAGTGATTGTGGTGTACGCAGTTTCGCATCCTCCACTATTGTCTGCATTTCGGACGCGATTCACTCCATTATGGAGAGGCAGTAGTATTATGTATTATCGACGCAGAAACCTCGTCATGACACTGTCCGACATTCATTCTCCATCCATCACTAGTGTCTTGCCACGGGAGTCTGGCCACCCGCCCCATTGGGGGGCGGGGGGCCAATCGTTGCCCCTAGTAATATCAATATACAGATTCGTAAAAGCTTCCACGGAACTGCGAAGAAAGTTCCTTGGGCTGAACGAAGACTATGCACTGATTCCGTCCAGCTGTCGCGTCAGCTGTCGGGCCAGTCGGGCCTGTCGTGTAGAATAGGCCGGCAGAAGACATCAGCTTCAGCCAAAACGTACACGGTGACATGCTGTTTCTGATCTGATGTTGAAACATGTGTCAGCACATGCCAACAACATCAGCTCAGTGTTGGCGTGGCAGCTGTCAGAGCGGCTGTGGAGCGAGCGTCTACGACTGGGGGGGGCACGAGAGGGGAAAATAGCATACAGCAGTAGCGTTCCCAGCGTATATGGTATACAGCAAGCTGCGGTAACGGAAGCAATTTCAAGTTGCAGAGACATTGTGGACTGCTGTCTCATCTCGCCTCATACCCACCGGATTTTTGAGATATCATGACGCTACGGCCACTACCTGATACTGTTCGCACGCTGGAAACGCACTTACAGTCGTGGCTCCGTTGTAAGAGGGTACCTTACAAGAGGGGGCTCCGATATAAGAGGTTCGAAATCGGTTGTCACGGACTCGACTCGCCATAGAAGGGTTACCCTTTCACACAGCGACTGGACCCTTTATAGTGGGGTCACTCCACTATAGAAGGGGTTTACCGCACTAAAGGGGGCTTGTAAGTGAGGGACTGTCGCCGGTGTGTGGCTCCCCCGGCCTTTTCACTCACACACAAACACACTTTCCTCACAATAACGCCGCAGGAAGAATAGACCAGGTATTTTGAAACTGGTGGCAAATGCAAGGAGGATGGTGCAAAGATGATGAAAGCACTCCGAACCGAACACATGTGCAAAGTAGCAGCCTTGGGTAAACACGTGCAGCTAGCATTGTTCTATTGCTACCGTCTCTATCGTTAATCTGGAGAGTAGCTTAGCATCCCCCATGGATGGGGTCCCACACCATGGCCGCACTGAGACTAACGTGTTTTCGTTGGTTAGCTGGTTAGCGCGGTCGATGATAACAATAAAGGTATAAAAAACACACACACAAACACATATCGCGGCGCCAAGTAGAAGCAGGTGTGTGTGTGTGCTAGGCTAGAATTTCGTTCCTTTCAGCATACGGTTCAAAACCTGCAGCGCAGACAGATGTGGTTCTCCTCTAAATAAATGTGGGCAATGTGTGTATGTTGGTGTGCGCCAGGGGCCAGGGCGAGGTAGACGTTTGTTGGTGTACATGAAGTTAGTTTCTCATGGTCGGAGAGGCGCCGAGGAATTGTAACATGTTGTTCGACTCTGTAGACTATGCGTTTTAAATGCATGCATGAACATGTACTTTACCTCCTAGTATCAATGGCTGCGTCAATTTGGCTACGAGGCAATTATTCTCTGCAGATGTTCCCACTCCATGAAATAATTAAATACAAAACGGAAAGCGTTGCCGATACGATCACAATCACCCGGCTTGCTTTGGGCGTGTGAATTCGGGCAATCTGCCAACCACACGTGCTCTACAGTCCAGCACACATACATGCTTGCACACCTACACGGCATACTGGTACGCTGTGCCGTAGTCAAAGTGCCTTTGTTGCTCGAGATTTCCCTACTTTCCCTCTATGAGAGGGTACCCTACTATGGAGCACCCGTATACAAGAGGGTAACCCTCTTATACCGATACAAGAGGGTGGAGAGCCGTTGTTACACCACCCTCTTACAATAAAACGAAGCCACGACTGTACATATATACATATGTTGTTCTTCGCTGCCCTTTCGAGGGTGGGTGAAAAATATCGCTTGACGCCGCTAAATCAATTCGTCGTTCTGCTGCCCATGATTCCGACTGCTGAATAAACTGCATACAGCAGCCCCATGTTTGTAGTTTTGAGCGGCAGGCGAGCACTGTATGTCGTGGCGGTGTCAGAGCAGTGCACACATCTCCGTGCAGACCGTCGAGTCCGAGGTCGGGAGGTCGGCATGCACATCTACACTTCCGCGCGGTTGCGGGCTTTCATCCAAAACAAATTCAGAAAATAGCCAAGTTCTTGTAGAAGGATCTATTTACAGCAGGCAGTATCGATGAAAGCTCGCGCCGACCTCCCAAAAATGGCGCGAACCTATTTTTTCTTCGGGCACAGTTGTACAGCAGGATAGGAAATATGTATCTGTTTTTCTCTGTTTGCTAATTGCATGTGTTCTTGCATCACCCCTTGCCGCGGTGCTCTCTTTATCCCACTCCGGAGGGATGTCTTGTAACCTTCGATGTAATTATATCCCGAATGTATCAAGTCATGCGCCGATTTTGGGGATATTGACGTCGTAGCCAGGACAACGTCGTAGCCACGTCATAAGTCGGGATGCCAGTATTGTTCCTCTGAAATGGCTGGCCGAGCTCTTCGTGTTTGGCAACGCGGGATCGTTACCACACGCATGAACTAAATTCACTCTTGTTCCGCTAGAGCATTATTCGGAAAGCGTTGCGTGTGTCCCACGGATCGACCAGGACGTGCGTGTGTACCCGCCGCAGTATCTCAAGCTGACTTGCCGAGAATCGCCAAGCAGTGAGCTAGAGTTCTAAATAAGGTACATTCCAAAGCCCCCGGTATTGGAATAACAGAGCGTATCTACCCAGTTTGGCTTATTTGTGGATGTCGGCGCGTTGTCTGTCGTGCTCCCGTGAAATTGATGCGCGTTTTTTTGTCAGCACAACGCAGGTGCCTCGACGCCTTCGTCGTCGCGTTAAGCCAGTGCTACGAGGGCGGGGAGAAGCGCTGGTATACGTCTACTCTGCAGCTGCAGCTGGCGTCCTTGGAGTTCTGCGGAGCATGTAGAAGCATCCCGATGCTACATGTCTTTGTGGATGCCGAAACACCTCCCACTCTGTGGTCTCTTGGCCAAGCCAACCCGACTGCTGGCACCTCTACCCGCGTGCCGGCCGTGCGGGCTGTTGGCTTGACGTGGGCACGTCCGACGGAGTCTCCGCTGGGGAGTGCTTCAAGCGAGCTCTGGACAAGGCTAGAATCTCTGCAGCTACAGGTCTCTCTTCGCACAGCTAATCTTGACTCGGTGGTTTGGCCTCAAGGGCTCCAAAGGCTGGTTATGGACTGTCCGTTTTGTATGATCCCACCGGAGATGATGTCGTGGCCGTCCTCTTTGAAGAGCCTGACGTTTGCGGGCATTTTCGACCAACCCATCAACGAGATTGTGTGGCCGGCCTCCATACAGAAACTATTTCTTGGTTTTCGCTTCAACCAACCCATCAGCGAAGTCGTGTGGCCGGCCTCTCTCCAGCAGCTATCTTTCGGGTACTGGTTCGACAGGCCCCTTGTTGGAATGATGTGGCCAGCGTCCCTGCGTAGCCTGTCGTTCGGGTTTCAGTTCAACCATCCCGTCGTCGACGTTGTGTGGCCTGCCTCCCTGCAGCATCTGTTTTTTGGTGTGTCCTTCAACCAGCCAATCGTCGGGGTTGAGTGGCCGAGCTCCCTGCAGCTGCTTTCGTTCGGCGTTTGCTTCAAGCAGCCTATTGCCGGAGTCGTGTGGCCGGATGATTTGCGAGAACTATTGTTCGGAGATCACTTCAACCAACCCATCAGCGAAGTCGTGTGGCCGTCGTCATTGCTGCATCTTTCTTTCCGGCGTCACTTCAACCAACCCATCAGCCAAGTCGTGTGGCCATCCTCGCTGCAACAGCTTTCATTTGGGCATATTTTCAACCAGCCCATCGAAGACTGTGACTGGCCGGCCTCCCTGCAGCAGCTGTCGTTTGGACAAAAATTCAACCAGCCTATCTCTGGAGTTGTGTGGCCGGCCTCCCTGGAGAATCTATTGTTTGGGGGCAATTTCAACCAGCCAATCGCAGACGTTAAGTGGCCGCCGTCCCTGAGGCAGCTATCGCTCGGACACCCTGAAGCAGCTACGTTCGGGAGTAAATTCGACCAACCAATCAACAAAATCGTGTGGCCTGCCTCTATGCGAAGTGTCACCAAAAACGGGCAAAGTTTGTGGTAGACTGTCGTTGAATGAAGGTTGGAGAATAGGGTGGGTAGCATAAGACCAACCGCTTGTCCGTATTCATCATGAGCCACTTGTCGAATTTCTGCCGGCCTTTGCTCCTCGTTGTTTGATGGGTACGAGTGCGCGTGTGTTCCACAGAGAGGTAAGGCAATTTCATCGCCGTGAGTAAAGACGCCTCACAAAACAAGTAGTGCTGGGCAGAAATGACGCGAGACAAACTCAGTTTTGTTGGAGTAGATCGTAACAATGTTTTGTTTTTGGGGTCTATTTTTCCAGAGTATTGTGTGCAGTGCGATGGCAATAATATAGGAAGTATCAAGTTTGTAAGTTTTTGTAGTAGTCGCCCGTCCACACTCGCGATACATGGGTGCAAGGACGGTAGATAATCATTCTCTCAAATAATGATGCTTACGATGAGTAATAGGTATATGCATTGGTCGAAATTCAAATTCGCCCCCCCCAAATCGGAGCCGACGATATAGCATAGCTAGGTGGGTGGGTTGACGTGACGTTCCGCTCGTTCACTTTCACTTGAACAACATGGCGTGACGGAGTCCGGGAGGCATGTCATACTATGTAGACTAAACCACCACGCCACGCTGTGTTGTAGCGGTTCCCGACACTTTCTTTGTTTCTGATTGCCGTAGGACGCTCCCTGCTGATAGTTATGATGGAACACCGCGATTTCTGCACCACTACAAACAAAAATATCTCGCCGAATAAGGGGATCATCTGGCCGCCGCGTATTGACACGCTTATTTCCAGGGTGTGGTAACGTTTCAACGTAACGTCAGACCAACGCCAAAAGTCACCTACAATAGCTGCGCTCGGGTACCGGTTGTAGCGCCTGCATCATCGTCGCAACGACGAAGCAGGCTCGCCGATTCCTAACCCGACACAAGACCGATTAATCGACTAAGGTTCTTCGCCTCAGATACGACATCCACGTACGTACGTCTGGACCGGCACTTGCCCCTGAAAGTACCACAAAAAAGGGGGCCATTTTGTTTTGTTGATTGAGTGGAGCACGCACGCGCAGTCATGTCTGAGGAATGTATGCGGAGCAATTGCGCGCATGCAACTTGAGGAAGCATCCTTTGAACTGCGACAACCTATGATACCTCCAGCGTCAAGATCGGCTACACGACCTAACCATCTACGAGGCACAAAACACATCCGGTACGGCAAAGGAAATGGCTTTTTTTTCAGGATACAGTACGCTCTGCACACACCTCGCAGGCAGCTCGTCCCACCAGCCCCCACTCGGTAACGTTCACGGTGCCGCTAAGGACATCGTCCACACATTCACTCGTCCCGCTCCCTACGGAAACATGGTACAATTGAGGGCTGTCCGGTCCCATCTCTTCCGCTCCGTCGTCTCAAGTCATTTACTACTTCACGCAATTGTCGGTCATGTGTGTTCCTCAGATTATAGCATCGACAGCGCCAACTGGCCCACCAATCAAATGAAGCCAACCCTACCTCGCAGCACCCCAGGTGTTTTAAGTCTGGAATCATCCGCCCGCGTTACACAGGACGTGTACACTTCGAACGAAATCGGAATTCGAATCTAAGCTCGTTGGTAAACACACAACCACACAGCGCACACACAAACGTGGACATGCACAGGCAGGGAGGGCTCTGGTACGATAGTACGGGGTCGTACGCATACCGGCGCTGAGCCAAGCTCCTGGCTGAACAGCCGACAGTCCAATATGCAACTCGATATCAGTGCTTCCCCGACAACAAGTAAATTGTACCAGCCGTTTCATGAGCTAAGCACGCGTCCAAGGCCTCAAAGTCAAAAACCCTTCAGACTAGACGAAACACACCGTGAAAAACACACAGGCTCCTGCTCGTAGACTCATGGTACCGGGGTTCGCGGAAAAAACACCTCCCTCTACGTGCGCTCTCAAAAACCTTGCCGTTTACTTCAAGATTTCAGCAGCAAGCTTCAGGGCACCTGGTAGTTGGAGGGGATGACGATTTTGCAACGACAGCGCTGTGCTGACCTACACGAGTAGAGCTTTCCACATGCAGAGCATCCTGCGCCTTCCATCACTGCCGGGGACTGTAAATTAGAGGCTAACCCTTCCTGCGCTTCTTCTTGCCCCTTCGGCCCTTGCCACCACCTCCCCCCGTCTGTGCCTCCTTCCCACCCCCATCAGCACCGTCAGCACCGAAACCTTGTTGCCCCCCCGCCTTCCGCTGCCCACCCGCGCTGCCAGATCTCTCGGCACCGAAACCCTTCACACCGCTACCGCTGCTGCCGTTTTCTGCTAGGCCCCTCGTTTTGAGCTTGTTGACGAGCAACGACAGGTCACCCTTCTTCCCGCCACACAAGCCAGCACCAACACCATTGCTGGTGCCGCCGCCGCCGCCGCCGCCGCCGCCGGTTCGACCGTCGCCGGCGTTGTCGCCGGCATCGGGGCCGTCGCGATCGGCGCGTCTCTTCTTGCCCTTCCGTCGGGTGCGCTCTTCCAGGATGGAGCGCATCCCCTCGGTATCCTGAGAGGCAGCGTTAGGCGACGGCAAGCAGGAACACAACACAGCACCAAGAGAAGGTCTCAGTAAAAGTTGGTGTTCGCGTTCTAGGATAATGTGGTGGTGATGTTCGCAGAAACTGGTGATCGCGTCGAAGGGTTGTGTTGTGGCGGCGGCGGTAAAAATTGATTTTACCAAATATGCTCCGAAAACCCGAACGAGTACTGTCCCTGGGGAAAAAAAAAAATAGAGCAAGATCGCGTGTTCCCCTTGCCGTTGACTCTTGTACACAAAAAAGCCCGTCGCAACATGCACGCGCCCGAGACACACGGGCCAGGAGCTCATTTTCCGTTCCACTTCTCGAGGAGCTAGGACGTCATCGGTCACGGACCACGTGACTCTTATCTACGGGCAGGCGGCGAAACCATGTCCTGAAGAGAAGACCGCCTCAAGCCCCAGGGCGCTCACCTCGCCAACCAAGGCCACGATTGAATAAGTATTCGAGACCAATGACAAAAAAAAAGACGCAAATAACCACACGTCTGAAAGAAATCGTACCGCGTACAAATATTCTGTGTATGTGAAAAACCTACCGCCTAATCAAACCAAACTTCCTCAACCTGCGCAGCTTCGCGCTAAATCCGCTCACCTTGAAGCTGGAGTCTGTTCGATCGATTCCGAACCGCGTGTCCCCCTCCAGCAGGGCCGCGAAACGCTCGTCCGCCACGTCCACCCTGAAGTCTTGCCCGGGCGCCTTCTCTCTCGCGGCCTCCTTCCGTTTCCGCTTGCCCCTGAGCTTCTTGCCCTTGAGCTTCTCCTCGCGGGCCAGCCGGTGCATGTCGTAGTCCCGCCGGTCCTCTTCCTCCTCCTGTTGTCGTTTATTGTTGTTTATTATTGACCGAAACAACAACAAAAAAGCGTGGGACGGATGTACACCATTACTAGATATGAAACGGATGTGTCTATTGCTTCCGAATTCACTTCCCGACTGCGAAAGAAATTCTTGTCCGTACGATCAACAGGTGCCGGCCGGTTTGTGCCGGAGCACTCCATCAGCAACAACAGGGTGGATAGGGTGAAACAGTTTTCCCACCTCGGAAAGCCCCCGAAAACGGGTACCACGAAGACACTTACCCCGCCCCGCTATTTAGAATACACTGTCTGTTTTCCATCGACAAGAAACTGTCTGCTGTCTTTCGACATATTGTGGCATCATTCGTTCAAAATAGCGAGGGACGGCTCACATCATCCGCCCCCCCCGCGATTCCCGCGGCGGCCGAATCTCCATCCGTGTCCCCCGAACCCCTGTCCTTCGCCATCCCGTTCTTGCCCTTCCTGTTGCTGCTCTTAGACCCCTTGCCCTTCGACACCGCCTCCTCCAAGAAGAAACCGTCGGCCTAATGACACGGAGGAAACGTCGTGAATGCGTTCGACAATGAACCGGGACCATGATCGACGACGAGAACAAAGTGCGGCGGAAGTACGGCGTGATGGGAGGAAAGCGCGAGTTAAACAAAGCTATCACGGAGTATTGTTTACAGGATGCGGTAGCCTCAAAGTTCTATTTCCTTTCTGTTGTCCATGGAATAAACAGGTTACCTCTCACGCACGGTACCCATCGCTCAAATATAATCTGAAAAAAACTGCAAGAAATGATGAACGCAAAGCCGTCGTGAGTACTTACAGCGAAGAGGGAAGGGAATCATCGTATAAAATATTCGAAGCATAGTTGTACGGTTGTACCTCACGCAACTCTCCCCTATCGAAGTTGCGATACTTCCGCCATCATCAAGACCTTGAACAAGACGCCCTACTACATCTCCCCCATTTTTCTAGCTAGCCTTGACCACGAGCTGCGTCCAGCCATCGAGCGCTCCATGTCGCGCTCCCATCATGTACAAGAGCATGCATCACAACCCTCCTCCCCATCTATCCTCCTGAATGCCATACGAGCAATCACGTGTTCTACGGGAAAAACAATAGCTGCATACCGCTGTCTCTCGCACCTCTCCATCTTCTCCGTCATCATCCGCTTCTTCCGCCTCGATACGCTCCTTGATGGCCTTCTTCCTAGCCCTCTTTCTCTCCCTCTCCTTTCGCAGGGACGCCTCCCACGGGGTCTCCTTGGCCAAAGCCTCCTTCGCCTTCCGACGGGCCAGCAAACCCTCCGCCCCTCCTGCAGACCAAAAACAAAACAACGAAACAACACTAGCCGTAATGACTCCATTCAACACGTTCCCTGCGAATGGGTATCATAGTACTTTATTTTGAGGTAAATGTATGTCTTGCGTGATATATTCCAGTGGAGAGAATACCCACCTTTCGAAGCACGGCACAGCTTGCCTCAAAGAAACGGCTCGGGTCGCTTCGGTGTATTACCATATTCTTCGAGCCGGCGTAGGTTCGTTTGAGCTGATCATGGATTCAAAGCGTCCATCTTGGCTCCCAAGATTTCGGCCTTCTGTTTATTCTATGTGGTTCGATAATCTAGCCAGCGGGGCGCAGCAGTGGTGGCATGCGACGGTCCCTCGAGTTTGATTCGAGTCCCACGGTTCCCCTTCGTGCAGTGGTTGTTGGCGTGTTCACAGGCAATAAAACGTGTGGATGTGTTTTAGAAAAATAATCCCATGCCCGAACAAGCGTATGTTTCACAAGTATGAAGCAGGTGATGGTCAATATCCTTGCGTTTGCTGTGTCAAACCAGAAATGCTATGGGTTGACAGCAGTGGTACGCTGATTCGTATATGTTTGTGTGTGAACATAGTGGGGGGGGGGGGGGGGGGAAAGGGCCCTCAACAAAAACAAAACCCCAAAATTTTTACCCTGGGATGGGGGTACGGGGATTACGTTGGGCAAAAAAAAACCCCCAAACTTTTTTAAGGGAAAAACACCCCCCCCCCCGCAACGCCCCCAGGGTTAACGAAGGGGAAGAAAATAACAACATGAATAAAAAAAAAAAAAATCCCCCCCCCTGAAAAGATTTTTGATCCATCCTCGACCACCCCACCAGCCGAAACCCGAGGAAAAAAAAAAAAATCCTTGGCTTCCCCCTCCTCCCCCTCTTGGCCCCCCCCCCCCCAAAAAAGGTAACGGGCAAACAAAACAAAAGAAATCCCATT